TAAAATATGTTGTACAGCACAATACCTCTTTTGGCAGAAATGTCAAAAATTTTAACCATTTTAAAGAGTTCTGCAACTACTTTTTGGGTTCTATAAATTGTTTTCTAGAATTTGAATATTGTAAAGGAGTGATTATGGAGGGGGTAATTGTTTTGTTATATTTTGTTTCATAATACATATTATCATATTTTAACCCTTAAATGTGCTCTCAATAACTTGTTTATAAAGTCTCCTCTCTTGAAACAAAAAGAAGTTGCTGCTAGAGTTAATATAGGCATCCTACATTAATAAAGTATTACCTTATTCAACTTGATTATATTGAATTTATAAAACATTTTAAAACTTGAATTTCTTTCTTGTTCTATAAGCTTTATAAATTATTGCTCCACATTTCTACCATAAGCTTGGCTTTACATATGATCTCCACCATAATGGTTGTATAAGTTTAATCCTATAATCAGTCATAACTGTTTCACCCAATTCATGAAAATTGATCAGGAAGAAGATTAAAAAGAATGGATGATCTTTATGTTATAGTACTATAATGAGCGTATTACCTAAGCAGGGTAACATGTATATACATGAGAAAATAAGCAGCAAAAAGCAAAAATTGACAATTGATAACACATCAAAGTAATATATATTAGAATCCAACAATAAAATTGGATTAAGAAGAATTTAGCATAGAGGAAAAAATCAATCTTTATGTGGCTAATGAAAAAATATTTAAAGCTAATATAACCATTTTTTCCACATATTGTAATCCTAATAATTTTTTTATAGATTCCTAAATTCAAATATAAAAACCTTGCTCTTTTAAATATATAAGGATAATTCAAATTAAAAAATCAATAAGTGGAAATATAGATACAAATTTTTATTATTAAAAATATTAATAATTAAAATATATGAGATCCAATAGCTATAATGCCATATACTTATATTAGCATTAATTGATATGCACATTTTTGTATTCCATTTCCATATTCAATGCACTTATATTGGTGGAGATGAGAGGTAGCTTTGTCCTTAAGGAGTGTTTGGATTTGGGATTTTAATTTAGATTTAACTTTTACATTGTCTAGATCCTCCTTTCCTTAGCTTTCTCAACTTCTTTTCTTTTTCTTTTTCTTTTTAACTTTGGAGTAGCAGTTGGTGCAGTTGCTTGATGCTATGTAGTTATAATTGAACAATCAAACTCAATTGATGGCAGCATTCATAGCACATGCTACAACTCATCCTACTCTTACTGCCAATCCTTGTGTTCAACTGAAGTTTTTCTGTAAGAGTCATGGAGATAATATATACCATTAGTTTGATCATTTTACGATGATTGTCACACATTATTTTTAGGATGATGTTTAGCATTTGCGTGAGTTTCCCATGTATCTCCAAGGGACAGCACTGAATGGTTTGAGAGTAGCCACTCATGAGGATTGGAGCATTCTCTAGTGAATTTGTAGGTGGTGTTAATTGTTCTTAATCCCTTTATAAAAAATATTTTAGTTGTTACACATGCACAATTTCTGGAGGATTGGCTTATTGGTTATCATGCTAAACCTCATAAACTTGTGGTCCAACTTGCCACAACACCCAATACCGTCCCTTCCACTGAGCAAGGAGTTATAAATTTGGGGAAACAAATTAACACCAAATCATCCATTTTGTACTCTATAAGTGTTTGGCAGACTTTTCTTGGACCAATGGAAGGATGCTTATTAAATACTAAATGTAAGCTCTTAAGTTTTGGACTTCTTGGGCACCTAGCCCAATACTATTCAAACCTAAAGACACTTAACCCTAAGTATTCTAAGACCCTTAACCATTTGGAAAAAGGGGTGCACTCTTGTTCATAAGCTCTTTCCCTTTATATTTGAACCCTTATAGATCGTCTCTTGAGTCGTTCCTTTTGGTTGTTTACAATCCACCACACTTCTTTACAAGTTCATGCCCTCGTGAATGGAAGTTGAGAGCCACAGCTCTCTTGAGAGCCCCGCTCTCTTGACACTCTACCCTTTGGGTCGAGCCCAGCGAAAGTAAATTGAACCTGCTAGATGTCAATCAACATGTGGTGCGATTCCCCTAGCTAACTAATAGAGTCAGACCCGAGACCTCTCTAATACCAAATATAAGCTTTTAAGTTTTAGACTTCCCAGGAGGTCACCCAACCTAGTCTTATTCAAACCTAAGGATGCTTAACCCTAAGTATCTCAAAACCCTTAACCATTTGGAAAAAGGGGTGTAATCTTGTTCATGGGCTCTTTCCCTCTATATTTGAAGCTTTATGGATCGTCTCTCGAGTCGTTCCCTTTGGTTGTTTACACTAAACCCAAAACCTAGTATCGGTAGTTTGGCAATCACAAATGTAAACTTAATTATGTTGGTAAAATTAGACCACGATAATATAGGAATTTATATGGTGAAGCATTAACAAAACTTTACACCCTTGTGATATACATATACTAAAGATATAGCAAATAATTATCCCAATCCAAATGCTGAAAGTTTAAATACTTTGCGATCATCCCTCTGAAAGTCTAAATAAAACCATCTGACTGTGGATGATAAGCATTTGTGAAAGTGTGGCATAACCCTAATCGATATGTTAAAATGCAAAAATACCTCAACCATAAATGTGGGACCATTATTCGAAAGAATTGACTTTGGATAGGAATGTTAAAACACCATTTGATTGAAGGGGAAGTAAGTTGCAGATACACCAGTAAGAACTCTAATTTCCACCTAGTGAGGCAAGTAATTAAAAGCAATAATGATATACTCACTGCTAACAATTGACTGTGGAAAAGACCTATCATATAAAATGCCACCAACTCAAATAGGTAGGAAATTGTAATTGACTTCAACCCTCCTTTTGTAACAAAAGTGAGAGTATTACAAATTTGGCACTAAATATAGTTATGTAAATATTGGATAACATCACGTTGCATCTTCAATTAAGAGAAAGATCTATGCAGCTCTTTAGTCATACAATGATGTCCCATATGCCTACATAAAATAAATAAATCATGATAAGTGTGGAAAAAATATGAAATAAAGATTGAAAGCACCACCAGCCATAATAATCATCAGAATCCGTCCTTACAAAATAGAGAAGGTCATCTTTAAGACATCAAAGCTCTTAAATAATTTAAGCCAACTTTAGAATGTGCACCATGTTAATATCATTAAATAATTTGCTGCACATGCATGCAGCAATGCTCATAACAAAGAATACTGTACACATTTGTCCACCACATTGCTGGCTTTGATAAAGAAACACTGGAATAAAAAAAGCAGAGTCAAACATCTGGAACATCTCTAGTAAGTTTGATATCTTTTAGAGCAGGAGGGCTTTGATACCACAACAAATCCTCACATATCAGGTTACCTTGCCCTCGCACCAAAACAGCAAGGTTGAAGAAAATCTTATGCACTTCTCCTATTTGATTTTGGATCTCTCTCTCTCGTTCCTCGATGATGGCTTCATTGAATATAAGGTCGTTCTCCAGACGCAAAACATCTTGCCTGGATCAATCAGCCAGTTCAGAGATGAAGGAAGAATGGACGGAGGGTGGATACGCTTCTTCCCATTCGGCACCTTTCTTCTGGACTGCTTGAAGCAGAACTGTCTGGAAATCTCTTGCAAGCTTTACATCCGGCCTGTATCATCGATCAATGAATAAACATCCAGAATAAAAGAAGAGAAGATTATGTTACACTCATCTTAAGTCAAGGATTTTGATTCGTTTTCTCTCTCGTCCAGTCACAAATTGCGGCAACAAATTGGGAACATGACCTCGAATGCGTTGAAGGAAGCAAGCAAAGTCGACCAGTGTTCCAGGACTTGCGGACACTCATGTTGATTTGGAAAACGAGCAGTGCCTCAAGACCTGGATGAGTCTGAAGACGAACAAGCGATGGTGGAGATATATGATGTTAGACCCGATGGTTTCCTTCCCCTAGGTACGTACAGTACATCAACTATAGCTAACTGTTTTCAGCCAACGGGAACCCTCAAGTACCCGAACCCTTTACCTCTTGCAAGCCTATGGTGATGGACCTTTGTTTTCTTTTTCCGAGTTTGTGGTTTGAGATTTAGTGGCTTTTGATCAGGAAAAGAACCTCAAGCTTGTTTGTAAAGTCGGCTCTTACAAGTTTGTGATAAAAAACGGGGACATAAAAGAATGGTTTGTAAACGGAAAGAATGACGCTATTGTAGTTCCTGTTGGAGGTCAGATACAAAAAGCAGAGGGGTGTTTGGCATTTGACACGAGCTTTTCTCTTTTCAGAAATATGTTATGCTGCTACTGGCTTGGATATCATGTAACTTATTTCGTTTTTTACCTTTGAACTGCCAGGACAAGTTAGTGTGCCCACAATCTAAACTTCTTTCTGAAGTACAAGGAAGGACAGCTAAATTTCCTTATTCTCTTTGGAGTACCTGAGATAAAGAAGAGCAAACTGCACCAGCTATACCAAGACAAACACAAACAAGAAACCAAATACTACGAAGAGGAAATGCTAGAGTGAAAATTCAGAAGAAAAGCTTGGTTGTGTGATTCTATGCAGCGAACGTGGAATTATATACACAAATGGCTGGCGGCTAGCCTTGCAGGATGAATCAACGCGAGAGCACCGAGGTGGTCTCTCGGTCAACCCCGAAGAATACCTGGTCCGAGTGGACGAGAGTGCTCCAAACTGCTGCTGTGCTGATTGGAAGGAGCAAGTCTTGTACTGGGTGAGTCTAATAACGTCTACATGCTCCTTTTCTATCGACACAAGATCTGATCAAACCCTGTGATGGTTTCGTCAAAGGCTCGGATTGATGTCTTTTTTTCAAGTCGTCATTTTCTTTCATGTTGAAATGTCCACTAAGTAAAGTTAAGAAGCGTGGCCGACCTGGATCCCCTCTCACCGTCCTCCTGGATGATACAAGCACTCAGCAAGCTCAGCCTCGACATGAGATCATCGCAGCCTGCAAACTTGATCTCGATTAGTTCCTCCGCCTCAGCAAGCCACCCCGACCTCGCGAACAGGTCCACCAGGCACCGGTAGTGATCCAGCTTCACCTCCATCCCCCTATCATCTCTCATGGACCGAAAGTTGGCGAGGCCCTCGCCAAGCAACCCCGCATGGCTGCAAGAGAAGAGCACGCTGAGCAAAGTCACCGAGTCTGGAGCCAGTCCCACCTGGTCCATAGCCCACAAAACTTCGAGCGCCTGCCTCGCGAGGCCCAGCTCCGCGTAAGCTCCGATCATGGAGTTGAAGCTCACCGCGTTCCTCTCCTCCATCCCGTCAAACACTGCCCGGGCTTGGTCCACAGCGCCGCACCTCCCATACATGGTCACCAGCGCCGAGCCGACCATCAAGTCCGAGTAGAACCCCATGGCTAGAACTCGAGAGTGGAGCTGGCGTCCCGCTCGCAAGCTCGCCGTCGTAGAGAATCCCCCAAGCAAGCTCACGAACGTCAGCTCGGTGGACCTCACCCCGTCCTGGTCCATCTGCCGGAGGATCGCCACGCAAGTCACGCTGTCACGCTGCTGGGCGAAAGCTGCGATGAGCGCGTTCCAAGTCGAGCTCTCCCTCCACACCATGGAGTCGAACACCTGCTTTGATTCCGCTGGGCTCCCACACTTGCCGTAAGCGTCCACCAGTGCCGACTTTAGGCAGTCGTTCTCCAGTCCGTCCTCGACAATCCTGGCATGAACTCTCCGGCTGTGTTCCAGGTCCCCCAGACCCGCAAAGGCGTCGACCACGCTCACGAAAGTCACCTCGTTGGCTCTCACGGGCATTCTCTCGTAGAGCTCGACGCACTCCCGGTACAGTCCCTGCTGAGCGTAAGCTGCTATCAACGCGTTCCAGGAGACCACATCGTTCTTCGAGGAGATCTTCTCGAACACCATCCTAGCAGCGCCAAAGTCAGCACACTTCCCATACATAGTGACCAAAGCCGTCGCCACCACCAAGTCTCGATCAAAGCCTTCTTCGACCACACGGCTGTGGACTCGCTTGCACTCTCTCGGGTCCAGCAGCCCAGAGCACGCACTAATCACGTTCACGTAAGTCACAAAGTTGGCCTTCACACCGTCCAAGTCCATCTTCCGGAAGAGAGCAAGTGCCCCGCTGTAGTCCCCGTTGACGGCAAATGCAGCGATCGCAATCGTCCAGGAGTAGACATTGCACGTCTTGATGGAGCTAAACACCAGCCATGCCTTGTCCAAGCTTCCACACTTGCCATACATCTCCACCAAGCAGTTCAGGAGCAATCTTTCGGGACGCTGCCTCCATCTCTCGTAGATAGTTGCATGAAGACGTTCCCCCTCAGCCAAAAGCTTGTAGTCTCCACACTTGAGTAGCAAATGCGCGTAAGTCTGAGCGCCTTCGTCTACCCCTGCCTGGACCAGTCTGTCTACTTGATCCCTGACCTTCCCCTTCTCAGCCTCTATTCTTCCCTGCTCGCTTAAAAACTTGTAGTCCCTTCTGGAAACCAAGACCACCTCCCAGATTTTGGAGAACGTAAGCTTCACTGGATTACTTCGTCGCCTGTTTAGAATTGCCAACATCAAGAAGATCAGTCACAAAAGAATCGTGGATACATCTCACCGGTAAGCTGCAAAGGAAAAACCCTGCTTCTGCTCTTATTGGAAGTCTCAAAATACAACGCTCTATACCTCAAAGAACTGTTTATTTACTAGGATATACCAGAATCAGCGACAGTCGAAGTAGCTCTCCAGGGTGTTCGTTTCAAGAACGTTGGACGGCATGGATCCCAAGGGTGCTGGAGATATGAGGAGCTCGTGGTGTATGTACCGCTGCAAACTAACCGCGTCAAGTGGGAGAACAGATGAGAATGAACTTACAGCCAGCTGATTAACAATGTCTACCGACGTATCGATGTGCCAGTCAGGCTCGAGTTGCCTCACGAAGGAGCACCTCCCAGCCTCGGAACTGCAAAAGAGTACCTGAATTCAAAGCACCAACTCAGTGAAAAACCTTTTGCAAAAAGTACTTCGGCTTCACCTTGTTACGGTTGAAGTTTGCTTTGCTGAACAGGCCGATCTGATCCAACGCGGCGAGTATTGCTTCCTGCACAGATATCTGTGAGCAGCGAAGATACACATCCATACACACACCTCGCTTGCATCATCGTTAACTCTGGACATCAGGTAGAGATCACAGCACTGGGCCAGTTCTAGGAGAACGTCAGCTGCCGCTGGTCGCACCACAGCATGATTCTGTTAGCGAGAACTTGACGATTGTCAAACACGCCTAAACTTTCATCGTGAAAAAAGCTAAACTCGGAGTAGAATGCAAACTCACAAGGAGGAAGCTACCTCGAGATCAGCAGTCGAATTTTCCTGAAGCACCACTCCAAGTAGTTGGCAAGTCACCTGGTCACGAATTTCACCATGTCAACACAGAAGAAAAGTTATAAACTTCGCTACCTTTCGTCCACCTTTGAGCTGACGCTTCACCGACTGAGCCAAAGTGAGCTAAAAGGAAGAAGAGAGCGCATTGTCACTACACAAAGAAGAAGGAAACGATTTTTTTTCTAGCTTACCTTTGATAAAGGAGCCTCCTGGATGGCCACTCCACGCTGCCTGGCTTGTGATCCACGGGACTCAATCGCAGTGGAGCTGCCAGAGGTGGAGTCCGAAGAGGACGAGGAGGGAGCCTCCACTTTGGCGGTGGGCTTGGGACGACGAACTGGATTGGAGCTTCTCATGTACCTCCAGGTACACACCAGAGCTATGGCAAACCCTGCGATTGCCCCGATGGAGCTAGCATCCTACAATTTCCCCGAGCTAAGAATCGGTGTTCTTGAGAGCAAAGCGCTGCTCTTACCTTGTGATGCATGAGAAAGGAGACTAGAGCTGACATCTTCTTGCTGGCAGCTCGGAATATCTGCGCGAGCTCCTCCAGCACCTCATTCGCCATTCCGATGAGCTCCCAGATCGATCGCGCCCTGCGTTCTTCGCTTGCATCGAAAACCTAGACTCTCGATCCAGATCTTACCTCGCGATTTCGGAAACTCTCGCGTCGACCGGCTCAGCGCCTCGAATTCCTGGCACCACGCGCCTTGCCGCAATCGCGCCCTTCGATCACGCCATAGCCCACTGGAAGGAACAAATATTCCTCCGCGACTCGGTTAGAATGACTGAGATGGTATATTCTAGAGACCTCGACGGAATGTACGTTGGAAGAAATTAGGGTTCTTGGGCGCGATGGACGACGTCGTCTTCAGGTATTCGCTTCGTTCTTTTGATTCGATCGATCCCATTGAATCCATCCATCGAAATCTCTCGCAGCTGTGTGTGCTGTGGCGCGCTTCTCAATCTCGATCCTTCCAACGTCTACCCTGCCGATACGTATTTCGAGGCCGGGAACAAGGGGACGATCTCCTTCACCGCCATCGACGACACGAAATTCAGGCAAGAGCGCGACAAGAGGATTTTCCCCTTCTTCGAGACGATCGATCACTGGGGGATCCAGCGCGACCGGATCAAGCTGTTGTGCATTTCTTGCGGGAAGCTCGTTGGCTACATTTACAAAGATGGGCCGGCCATCACCGACAATCCAACAGGGCAGTATGGATTTGGGCCGAGCCAAGTAGTTCCTCGACTTCCAAGGTATCGACTCAAGATCAAAGCTTTGCATCAATCCAGGGCCGGAGCAGCAGCACAGCAAGGAAAGTAGCTCTAGAGAAATCGTTATAGCTCTTCGAAACTTCCAGGGAGAACTTCGGTGATCTTCACTTTGTGGTGCTGGTGATGATCAAGGCTATTTGGAAACTTACTTTGGCTTGAAGAGAGATCTTTGGCCGACGCATTAGAAACTTCCTGTAGAGGTCCAGGAAGAGCTTTGGTGATCTTCAGTCCAAGAGAAGTCTCCTCTAAAGCTGGAGAAAGAAGAGATCAGTTCCATGCCCGTCCTGAACGAGAATCTCAAACCTGGTGGTGATAGGGGCGATATCCTGCTCCGGAAGAACTTTGGTGATCTTCACGCAGTACCTCTTGTGGGGCTCTACATGCGATTCTCGGATACAGCCGATATGTGTTCCACACTTCTTACACCGCAGCTTGGATGTTTCTCTCCGGCGATTTTTGACAATGCTCCAGCTCCAGCTCCAGCAGTACGTGGTAGCCTCTTCCAACTGGAACCGGCTGTCATCGATGTCCACGAACACCAGAACTTTCTTTCGGCTGAAGCTTTCGTATTTGCTCCCCCTCTCCTGCACCAAGCGATCCGACGAGCTTAGCTTCAAAGCAAATCCGCAAGCTCCACAGCTGAAACGAGAAGGATCAAAATGCCGTCCTCCAGAAAAAAATTCTTCACGAACCTGTAGCTGACATCTCGTTGGGACTTGGACAGAGAAGGCTGCCACACTCGATCCTCCATGCTGCTGAGCCGCCTAGGCTCGTCTCCTTCCTCTGTGCTAGAGCTGACCTTCCAAATAGAAACTTCCGCGTAAGTCTAGTTCATGTAAGGCTTATCTCGAGTTTTGGGACGACTAAGTCTCGGTGGATCGCTCGCGCTGATTATTCACAGCAAAGAATACTGTACACATTTGTCCACCACATCGCTGGCTCTGATAGAGAAACGCTGGAAAACAAACCAGAGAACACCCTTTAAGCTACAAACACTATGAGGATCACCAAGAGTAAGACGCCAAAGAGGAAGACCAACAAACAAGTCTGCAGAAAAACAAAGGTAAAGTTGCCAGTCAGAGATAAAAAAGAGATCAAACTTACCAGAGATGTTCCGGACTTTTGACTCTCCTCGGCTCTTGACAAGTGCCGCCTCGCATCGCGAGTTAGAGCTTCGGAGCTATCCACATTTGTCTCGACCTCACCTATACAGCAATAAAACAACAAAGGTTTTGATACCACAACAAGTCTTGCAACAAATCCTCACCTATAATGTTGCCTTGCTCTCGCACCAAAACAGCCAGGTCGGAAAAAATCTCATGCACTTCTCCTATTTGATTTTGGATCTCTCTTATGCTTTCTTCTCGCTCCTCGATGATGGCTTCATTGAACATGACTTCGTTCTCCAGACGCAAGACATCTTGCCTGCATCAATCAGCCAGTTCAGAGATGAGAGAAAGAGAACAGACAAGTAGAGTACCGTCTTTGCTCGACTAGCATAGCTCGATCCTCTCGACTCTCCTGTGAAGTAAGGTTTAGCTCACCGGCTGTGTAACTATATGGAATAAGAAGCTGGAAATCAGAAACTTGGTTGACGTGATGAAGCAAGTACCTCGAAGGAAGAACGGCTTCAGGGACGAACGGTGTATACGCTGCTTCCCATTCGGCAGCTTTCTTCTGGACTGCTTGAAAGTCCTGCAGAACCGCCTGGAAATCTCTTGCAAGCTTTGCATCTTCGTATTTCTTGCTGGCCTGTATGATCCATCAACGAGTAAAGAAAAAACCACAAAGGAGAGAAAAGATCCTACACTTCCTGGAACACTGTGGTCGATTTTGCTTGCTTCCTTCAACGCGTTCGAGGTGTCCTTCACCATGTTCCCAATCTGTTGCCGCAATTTGTGACTAGACAAGAATGAAAATAAAATCACAGATGAACGGAAGAACAATGTTCTTTTGACTTACAGCTGCTTGCGTCCTTCAACCGTGTCTTTGGGAGTTCCCAAATTATTGACGAGCTTCTTGAAGGCGGACACTCTTGTGTTGATTTGGAAAACGCCGCTCGACAGCAGCGACGTAGCCCGCTGTTGCTTGCTCGGCGAAGGCCCTTCATTGGATTCTATGTCCTGATAGCTCATGATCCCCGAAAACCCCTAGCGCCCAAAAATCCTCTCCTTACTCCCCAGCCGCGGCCGGGCCGCTACAATCTTAAGATCTAGGCTATCTAGCACTTACGATCCACCAGCGCGCGATCGCGTGCTTGAACAACAATGGCGTGCCCGACAATGACGTGACGCCCTAAAAATAAGCCTCTAATATTCTGCCACGTGGCAATAAAGAACAAAAAAAAGATCACTCTCGGTGGGACTCGAACCCACAATCCCTTGATTAGAAGTCAAATGCCTTATCCATTAGGCCACGAGAGCCAATGGCAAACACTATTGAAATCTGAGGTATATATAGAAAGGTATTTGGAGGTATTTGAAAGTTTTAGCGGGAAATTCTCCTCTCTCTAGGGTTCTTCGTTGTCGCCATGGAAAATGTGCCGCCCATCTCGCAGCTCGATTGCCCGGCGTCGTGGCGGCTCTACTTCGCAGGAGTGAGCTACGATCCGGAAGATCGCAGAACGAAGCTCTTTGGCGATCTGGTGGAGTTTTTCCGGTGCCAATCCGGCCAACAGCTTCTTTCCAAGGTGATTCTAGGGTAGCCTTCCAGAAATCGGTGGAATCAACCTCCATTACCCTATCAGGTGCAGGAGAACGACGACATATTCGTCCTTCCCCTCGATTTCGTTGCTCTCAAGGCGCTGTGCCAGAATGAAGATCTTGACGCGGCACTGGAGGCCGTTCCAAGCGAGGGACTCTCGTGCTTGGGAGCTGCTGCGTATGAGGTATGGCTTTTCTTCCTTGTTTCGCGGATGTGCTTGAATTGTGACTTGTAGCGTGTTACTTTTTAGGTCCTCTTTTGTTCTGGCAAGAAAGTCGACGCCTCTGGAAAAGTTCACATTCGACTATACAACCATCCGGACTCCATGCTTGCTCTCAAGCATCTAAAGGCCGCATATATTGGTGAGATAGATTGTTCTTCTTGCTTAAGATGTTTTTGGTGAGATAGATTCCTCTTCTTTGCTTAAGATGTTTTTGTGGGCTTTGCTAGGAAGGCTGGTTTCCGTTCGTGGCACTGTGGTGCGAATGAGTATGGTCCGGCCATTGGTAACGCAAATGAATTTCGTCTGTGCGAAATGCGGCTCTGTCATCCACTGTGCTTTCACCGACGGCAAGTATTCACCGCCGACGAGTTGTGTCCTTCATGGATGTAGGAGTAAGAACTTTACACCGAAAAGAACACAGGTCGGATGCATCGACTTCCAAAAAATAAGGTACTTGTGGTCAAAGTTTTTGGGATTAGTTTGCTATGGTCTTTTGAACAGGTTACAGGAGTTGCATGTTGGTGAAGGCTACGAAGAAGGAAGAGTGCCGCGTACTGTGGAATGCGAGCTCACAGAGGACTTGGTTGATGTGTGCATGCCCGGTGATGTCGTGACCGTGTGTGGAATAGTGAAAGTTGTCAACACTAACGTCGATGTGGGTGGTGGTAAGCACTGTAAATACCGTAGGCCGAGTTTTTCTTATCTTGGTTTCTCTTCACAGGCAAATCGAAAAACAAGACACAGTGCTTGTTTTATCTTTACATTGAAGCGATCTCTGTGATTAACTCGAAAAACGAGAGCAGAAACTCTGACAAAGAAAAAAATCCTGATGCAAGGGCTGCAGCACCACCGAATGCACAGCAGTTCACCAGCCGGGACATGGAATTCATTGTCAAGTTTGCGGAAGAACATGGCTCAGATCTTTTCCGGCAAATGCTGCACTCAGTCTGTCCGTCTATCTACGGGCATGAAATCGTGAAAGGTAGTGTTATATGCTTTCAATTGCAAAGAGTTTTTTATGTTTCTTGCAGCTGGTATCACACTGGCACTATTTGGAGGGGTCCAAAAGCATGTCCAAGATGAAAATAAGGTACCGGTGAGGGGAGATATCCATGTCATCATAGTCGGTACGCATTTTTTGTCTCTTTGATTGCTTATCCCACTGTTTTCTCTCACTCACGTAAACAGGAGACCCTGGTCTTGGGAAGAGCCAACTTTTGCAAGCAGCTGCTACGGTGGCTCCAAGGGGAATCTATGTTTGCGGAAATACAACAACGACCGCGGGTCTCACTGTAGCTGTTGTAAAAGATGCAATGACAGGCGATTTCGTATTTGAAGCAGGTCCAGTTCCCTTTCGCATCTCCTTTCATAGAAAGCTTTTTTATTTGCAGGAGCTATGGTTCTTGCAGATAGGGGGACATGTTGCATTGACGAGTTTGATAAGATGACAGCAGAACACCAGGTAAATAGCTGATTCTTACGATGCATTCTTTATGTTTCTTTTTTATAGGCTCTATTGGAGGCAATGGAACAGCAAAGCGTGTCCATTGCAAAAGCCGGTCTTGTTGCCAGCTTGTCGGCGAGAACTTCTGTTCTGGCTGCCGCCAATCCTGTTGGCGGACACTACAAGTACGGTCACGAAATTATTGGCATCAGTTAATGACTTCTTACAGTCGAGCAAAAACGGTCAATGAGAACCTCAAGATGAGCGCTGCTTTACTTTCGCGCTTCGATCTGGTCTTTATTCTTCTGGACAAGCCCGATGAGGTTTTAGATAAAAGACTATCAGAACACATTATGGCGGTATGCACTCACCGTTTAAATTCCGTGGTTACTAATTCTTTGTTCTCATCAGCTTCACGCTGGCTCTGAAACACGTTCCAATGCTTCCAAACAATCACGTAACACACTCTCTTGAAAGTAGTACTTAACATCTATTGATAGTGTTGCAGCACAATGCAAATTTGCTGCAGAGTTTGGACTCGGACACATCGCTTGCAGTGAGACTCAAGCAGAGTCCCGACTTCACACCCTTACCGCCACCCCTTCTTCGCAAGTACATTGCTTATGCAAAACACTATGTGTTTCCGAGGTAAGTTTTGCCTTCGGTTGTTATCAAGTAAACCGAAATCTGTTTTGTTTTAGAATGTCAAACGCTGCTGCAGATGTTCTGCAAAAGTTCTACTTGCAACTTAGGAGCCACAGCCATAGTGCCGACGGCAGTCCCATCACCGCAAGACAGCTCGAGAGCCTCGTGCGGCTGGCAGAGGCTCGAGCCAAGGTTGAGCTGCGGGAAGAAATAACCGAGCAGGATGCTAAGGTGGCAATAGCTTGCATCCGTTCTTACAGAAAGTACTCAACTAACTTTCACCTTCTTGCAGGACGTGGTGGAAGTAATGAAAGAGTCACTGTACGATAAGTTCATGGACGAACACGGCTGCGTTGATTTTGGTCGAAGCGGCGGGATGAGCCAGCAAAAGGAGGCCAAGCGCTTCCTCAACGCTCTCCAGCGCAAGTCGGACCTCCAAGAAAAGGCCGTCTTCAATGTTTCTGTAAGTCTCCCACTTCCTGATCCTCTAAACAGACTTTGGCATTTGTTTCTATGCTCAGGAGCTGTACGTAATTGCCGACGACATAAGCTTAAACGTTCCAGACTTGGAGATGTTCATCGAGAACCTCAACAATGCTGGCCACCTTCTCAAGAAAGGTCCAAGATTGTACCAGGTAAACACAAGCTCGAGGGAAAAAAAAAGGATTTTTACCGGCTTCTGGAACAGGTTACATCGTCCTCATTTTCCAGCCAGCGCAACAAGTAGAAAAAAAGGAATCTTGTCCGACCTGCCGGAATCGAACCAGCGACCTAAGGATTTCTGAGAAACTACAGTCCTCCGCTCTACCAACTGAGCTAAGGTCGGAATATGAAGGTGAATCAAAATTCTGACGTTATAAATCGTGAATCGATTAAAAAAAAGGTTTTTTTTTCAGACAATTCACTTATATCCTGTTTGGAACTTTCAGAAGAGCAGCGATGCCCAGGCAGCAAGGAACGAAGCTCCACCAAAAGGCGCCAAAAACGCATACTTGCGGTTCTCTAGAATCGCTACAGTGTAGCAGCTGCCACAAAAAGTAAGAGCTCTCTCATTCCCTCCTCTAGAAAACAATCCAAGCTTACGTTCCAGAGAAAGCGAAGATTCCAAACGATAGAAGACCACCAAACTGCGAAAGCGGGGACCAAAGATGAAAGAACGAATCGATCGATCGAGAGACTTACGACGTGAGGATGCTTGGCAACTGGAGCCGCGACCAGCGCCGCCGTGTGCATCAAATGATACAATGCCGCGGTGTTGTAAACCTTCGCAAAACAAAAATTCGCGAAGAAATTCGAGCAAAGCTGAAGAACTCCTCCCATACCTCCTTGTAAACGGGATTCTTTGGCTTGTACATATGCGATCCATACGTTCCAAGCCCCACGGCGGCCATTCCTGCGAGAAAAGGGGCAAAATTCGTCGCCAAAATCGACCCACAAGGGGAGAAAGCGCTCACCGGAGAATGCCGCTACCTTATGCCACACGGTCGGATCCATCGCGCGCACGTATTGCGACACGGACGCCGTGAATCCCTCCTCCTTGCGCGCTTGAGCTCCAAGAAGAAGCTCCTCTTCTCCCTCGTTAGCTGCCATTTGAGCCAAAACCCTAAAATCACCACCAGGTGCCACGTCAGCTGACACCTGGCGGTAATTGTCATCCATGTCATACACACACACACGATTCACACACACTAGATTCATTCATTCCCACGTCTAGGGCTTTAGCGGGAGTCCGTGGCGTGGTAGCGAGCGCCACGCAATTCCTCCAGGTGAAATGGCTGCCGAGACGTCGATTCTCGGGGTAGAGAAGCAGTCGCTTAGATTGAGAGGCCTTCATTGCGAAGGCGCGGCAAGAATCGGGCGCGGGATTAGAGGGAGAGGGATTCCAGATAGCGGTAGGGAGCTCGTTGTGTCGATCGAGCCATTGTTTTTCGGCAGGATCATGACGATCGATTCGATTAGGATACACAACGCGCCACTCCAGGGGGGGAATTTCATCCGTAGTAGCAGGAATTTTGCAGCGCCTTCCTCGCGGCTGAAGATCGCAAGCACGAAATTCAGTCCAGGGAGGAGATTTGTGGATAGAGATTTTAGCGTGCGCGCCTCGGCATCGGCCGGTCCCGGACAAACGCAGAACGGGTAAACAATTTTCTTTTCCTTTCATTTCTTTGCTCATTGGTGCTAGTTTTGGAGTTTATTGACTCAAACGTTATGTGTTTTGGATGACTGATATTGTTTTGCTAGAGGTGGAGAGAAGGCATTGCCTGTGAAGCCCGATCCATCGGTATGATTA